ACTTGGTTTCACCCCGTTTGGCTAACTTTCAATTTCACGGAAAAAAATCAGGGTAGGGCTCGGCACTACCTATGGGTAGTTTTAGGGTTGGTAGTCCTGAGGAACAGAACATGTATTCGTCAACGCTACCTGTCGCTGTTCGTAGCGCCTACCCGCCGCTTGACTGCAACACACACGGCAAGCTTGTCTCCACAAGTAGAATTTCTCTTGCGGAAGGCTAGAATGTCCGGGATGCGTATGCGCCGTGGACTGCTCGACTATCGTCATCGTATTCGCCTCGGACGAGGAAAGAAAACATGGCTGCCGCGCGTCGCGTTGCCCAGTCCGGCGCTTTATTTAAAGTAATAGTTTAATACTATGAGAAAAGAATCACTATATGAGATAAAAACAGTTTTTCCGACTGAAATTCTAAATTTTCTGTTGTGCCGGCCAGGTTGGCCTAGCGGTCAGCGCGTCTGACTCTAGACCAATAGGTCCCGGGTTCGAATCCCGGTGGTGGCGACAAATTTTCACGGAACTGACGAGTGGATCTGCAGAAACAGATTCTACTCGGCCTTAATCCCTGAAAATTTGAAAGTCGGAGCATGGATGTGCCAAAATCCCTGATGTCTACTGACAATAAAATAATCTCTATGTTAAAACACTTTATGTCTGCAGAGGCTGTAGATTAAATAAAAACAGAAATAGAAGCCAAATAAACTGGGGCAAAAAAATTCCGGGATTCTTTTTAGACTTTTTCGAAAGTTCTGGGATTCATTTTAGACTATTTCAAAAGTTCCGGGAAAGTCCTGGAAAATGCAAAAGATCTGGACCACTTCGGAATTTCAGTAATTCCGGGGAAAAATTCAGGAAAATCTCGAAGGTTCCGAAATTCGACGCTATTTACAGGAATTGGGAGCACTGATTTTGTCGATCCTGTTTCAGTCTGACGCCATACTAACACTGGCACGTGCAAGAGCTCCATTCTCAGTCAGAAAACGCCGCTAAGGATGCGCAAAACGCCTAGACCTCGAGCTTTAACCCGAAGTTCGGGTCCCGAACTCATGACAGGGAGCGGCTTTCATCTTCGGCCCGGTATTTGCCTCTGGAAAAGCTCTGTCTCCGAGCACAAGGGCAGGTGAATTCTCTATTTCGTCTCGTCAACTCACAAAGGAAGAAGCTCACGAATCAAATAGAGCCCTCGTTTAGGGCTTAAAAGGGAGAATGTTGTTAAGAGGCGGCAGTTTATCACTGCCGTCCTAAGGAAGAACGCCGTATGAGCATTTGAGAGTTGCCAAATTTCCTTCGATAAAATGTTCATTTTTGAGGAAAGTTATGAATTTTTTTCATTTAAAATTTCAGGACTCTTCGGTGGAATTTCGAGCAAAATAATCTGAAAAATTTGAGAACAAATATTCCCAAGTTTACCGGGAAATTCGTATTTTATCAAAGGCAATTTGGCAACGCCTAAATGTTTATACAGCGTTCTTCCTTAGTACGGAATATCAAACCGAGAGACAAACGGGGGAAGACGTTTCACTTTCGATACGTTCCATGCATCCTTTATCAAGATTACCCGCAAGCTGTGGCATCTCTAGCCAATCTGCGCTTCACTTATTTACCCGTCTCGCTGCCAAATTTTGAGGGGGTGGGGTAGACCTAGATTCTGGCCCCTAGTAATTCAGTCAACTTTGATTTCCCTTTCCATAGGATCTGCTGGGTATTTTTTCGACAAATTTTGTTTGTTAGATTTTAGAGAGTCTCTAGATCAATTAGAAGTTGTTTCGAAATTCGAAAAAAAATTGAAGATTATGCCTTTTTTAGATTTTGGTTCAAACTTATCAGAAAATTTCGACTCGAAAACACCCGAAAATGTGGTGAATCAAAATTTTTGAAAGATCCCGTGTTAAAGTGCGGAGGGAACTAACCGGAATCATTGAAAAATTCAAAAAGACCATGATGGATCCTGAAAAACGGGACATTTTATGTAAAAAAAAGTGGTTTGCGGAAAATCAGAGCTTCGCAAAATGAGTAAAAAAATCAAAACACATGAAAAAAAGTTGGTGCGGTGCCTAGACCTCCCCCACTTTGAAAACCCCCTCCCCCTCCCATCTGTCCTACTTATCAGAATTTCAAAAACTTGGTCTTATTTTACTCGACAGAGAATGCAGTGCAAGAATTGTCAATAATCGAAAAAATTCGACTTTTCCCCCTTCTCTACCCATTAAAAAGATTCCTAGACTTTAACTAGCTCATGTCTGCGAATAAAATTCTTAGAAAAATTGCAAGGAAAAAACTTTTTCCTTGTTTCGAGAAAATTTTTGCTTTATTGGGGGGGAAATTTGGCGACGCTCAAGTGTTAATACACCTACGTTGTTCCCTGGCATGGCATTGTCAAGAGGTCCGGCAACAGAGGCCCAGATTCGAACGGCAAACATTGTCTGAAGAGACGCATTTGCGGCTGTTGTTGCACNCTGGGGGGGGGGGGGGCTTCTGTCGGAATGAAATTTACTCGAAAAATCCCTCTTGCGTCTCATGCCTTAACTCTGCCGTGATAGCGAAGAGAGCCGTAAGTGCAAAAAAATGGCCGAAGAGGGCGGCACTTCATTGGAAAGCACTGTTTCGATTGGCTCTCATGCACCTGCGGCTGTCTTGAAAAAAAGGATGTCATTTTTGTGCACTTACGGTTTTCTCTTACGTCTCGTTTTCATTAAAGTAGGATGAATTTTGCTGTTTTGGCTGCCTCAGTAATTTCATCTAAAAGAGTTTAGACGAATTTTGAAGAAAACTCGATTTCGAAAATTCGCACTTACGGCTCTCCTCGCTATCGCGGCAGAACTGCTATTCTACACTCGCAGTATTTTGTCGACTGAAAAATGTGGCACGGCGAAAGGAAGAAGGAGGCAACATGATCCAGTCGGAGATTCACGATGTAAATAATTAACACAAATTTCTCTCTCCCGAGTATTGATTTTGAACTTTTGAGCCATATTCAACACACTCTTAAGTCAGTGGCGATCCTCAAAAGTTGGCTATACTGCCATAAATATCGAACATATCGATTGTTTTACATGCATTTAAATGGAGGAAAAACAGTGTTTCCAACTTTCAAAAATCGCCACCGTGTGAAGTGAATTTTTTTGAGGAAACATACGTAGCGGTGCCTCTCTTTTTCTAGCTATATAAAGTTTCAGGGATACCTCAAAGGGAAAGTGAAAATTTGCAACGTCGCAATGCAGTGAGGTCTTCCGAGCTATTTTTTTCCGTTTACAGGGACACCAAACGGAGGAAACGACTCTACACGGAGAAAAAACTTCGTGCGTGGGACCCGAAGTTTAGGTCATATGGATCTCTGAAGTTTTCGGATTGAGCATCTGACACTTTAGGTCCAGCTGCTGAGGTTCGGATCACACATCTGAAACTTCAGTTCTTACATCTGAAGTACTTCGGTTTTTACATCCAAAACACTTCGGTTCCCACGTCCGAAAAACTTCGGTTCTCACATCTGAAGCACTTCAGATGTAAGAACTAAAGTTTCAGATGTGTGATCTGAACCTCGACAGCTAGACCTAAAATGTTCCGATGCTCAATCCGAAAACTTCAGTTCCGTATGACCTAAACTTCGGGTCCCACGCACGAGGTTTTTTTCTCCGTGTACGACTGGTCTTTGAGTGACATCACCTAAAAAATAGATAGGTATCACTGTATCAGCCCTACCCTCGGAGGACTAGAGACTGATCTGGGCAGGACTAGTAACAGGATTGCCACAGAATTTAGAGAATGAAATTCCCTGACATTTCCCTAATTTCCCTGACAATTGAAGATAAGACGGATGGTCAAGAAGGCATAATTGAAAATAGTTTTTAGGCAAAATTTCTTGTTCAAAATCTGAAACCCATTCTAGAAAGCAAATGAAGGTGATTTAACAAATTTTCTCTGACATTTGCGTCATTATCCTTGACATTTCCCAGTTTTCCCTGGCTTTTTCAAATTCCCTGACATGTCCCAGTTTTTCCGGTTTTCCCTGACTGTGGCAACCCTGTGGTACTCACTTAAAATTTAGAGGATGCCATTTCACCTCCCTCTCAAAGCGAGAGCACTGAACTGCTTATTTCGGTGCGTAAAGGGGTATTTTTGGGGTCGTCAACTTTTAGGGGGAGTTTTTTTAGGATTGGGCCGGAGTGGCTACCGCCACCTGAATGGAGCACTAGACAAGGTACGAATTTCAGCATTCTGATACATGATTCGTAACTAAAATTTCACGTAGAATACGACGCGCACAACGAAAATTACCGAATTCAACTCCTTCTAAAGATATTTAACGATTCTTGATACGTGAATTCAAACCACCCGCTCATGAAAACTCAATTCTCTACGTGATTCACATCGCGCGCTGAATGTTATTATTACAGTCTCTGCGATAAAAAAATCTGGCAACCTCAATCTTGACGCTTTGGCCCAGCTATAGCAAATTGCTTACCTATAGTTTGAACAACACATGGTGGAAAATGAACATTGCTCGATTGAGAAGCTTTCTGAAACCGTTGTAGTGAGCGATTTGACTCACGTAGAGCTTTGAGTTTCTTGTGAGCGGGCAGTTCAAATTCCTCGTAACCAATGTGATATAAAAACGATAATATCTTCGTTAGGAGTTAGTTTCAGTGATTTTCGTTGCGCGAATCATGTTCTACGTGAAATTCTGGTTAAGAAACATGTATCAGATTGCTTAAATTCGTACCTTGTCTAGTGGTCCATTGCATGTCACGTCGACGCATCTCAGATTCTGAAACGTCTTCGACGAGAGCTGACGTCGACTCGTCATAGGACTAGCTCATAAAAATCAGGATGCGACTTTTATGGGGGAAAATCGATTAATACCTGCGACGCTCTGTTCTCAATTCAGTGATAATGACCGTGAAACCGGTTCCCCTCTCGTCCGCTTCTGAGCTTGGTTCTCTACTCGTACAACCAATCAACGTCAGCAAAACTCAAAATCCGCCCTTTCCCCGCGTCACCTCGCAAGCCGGCAACAATGTGTGAAATTAATTTAATCGATTAATTCCATTAATTGAGTGAAATAAATTTGATAACGAAGATAGATATTTCCTGACCAACCACTTCTCCTAAGGAGTCATGGTCTTGGGCGCAAGCTATTAACCAGGAGCCCAGGGAAACCACTTTTTTGTTGACACTTTTATCGATTTGTGCCGTGTCTGTGTTAGTGTTTGCGTGTCGGATAATACTCGAAATGAATAATTTTGGAATAATTTTGGTGACTTGTTTTGTGGCTTTGAACATTGAGAGCAACCATTGTCAGGACTACCAAGGCTCGTACTTTGTATCCGATGAGTTTATACGGCAATTAAATGATGAACAGACTGATTGGAAGGTAACTGTGAAGATACGTTTCCCCATCTCTCATTTATTATTTAAAGGAAAGAAACAAAACGATGTTATAATTTGAAGGGAACATTTCGAACATGATTCTAGGCCTCTTTCAGAATTCTATTGATAAAGTTAAAGAGATAAACAAACAGAAACAACAATGAGTTAATTTGGGAATACCGTGCGGAAAACGCAAAGGCAAATACATCTCCAGTAATTATGACATCAGAACTGTAAATTGAAAAATTAATCGGATATATCATAAAAACGGACGGGGTATGTATGTCCGGCATCCCCTCCTAGGCCAATTCGTCTATTACTTCGAAATTTTACCGAAACATACTACGAAGGTCAGGGATCAGCACTGCGGGGGTCATGAGTTTCCATCTCCCGTCAAAAATGTTTAAAGCTCACATAAATGTTGAATACTATAGTAGCGTCAAATCAATTAAATGTGGAAATACATAAATAAAGGAAGTGACATGGCAGTGTTTGGAATAAACAAATGTGATTCAAATGACGAAATCACTCGGTATCAGATGGGAAGATACATCAGCAGCAACGAAGCAGTAAGAAGAATATTGAGATTTCCAATTCATGAGAGACACCCGACCGTAATGCATCTAAGTTTTCACTAAGAAAATGGACAAAGATTGTTCATGGACGGGTCTGCTGCTAGTATGTGATATTTTTGAAGAAATGAAGCTCGAATAGCCTCAGTTTAAATATATTCATTTACATACGTACATCTACAGATAAACGATGACCATAGTCAATGCTCATGCTGGTTCGCGATGTCAGAACTTTACGCTAGAAGGAACTATGTGCATGAAGTTTGCGTGCAACACAGTTCCTTTTAGCATAAATACGTTTGTTTTTACAGGAATAGAAACAACAAAACCACGTATTCAACACACTGTACGGCGGCCGTGCCTCATAAATTTTGTTCGGAATGCATTAGAAATCATCAAAAATGTTGATGATGAAAAAGTAATTACCGTGACTTATCGACAAAACTGTGAACTTTAAAAAAGTAAACGAAAATACGTCATTGGTAATTCTCACAAGTTCACAATACTGTTTCCCCTCCATTTAAATCGATTGAAAATGTTCGATTAAAGGTGAGTTAGCCTGTCTTGATAGGCGTGTACTGTTAATACGTGTACATGTACTGTTATAAACATGTAAGTAGAAAAGACCCCATATTACCAACTTGCAATAATCCTCAGTGATGTTATATTGCGGCCAATGCAATATTGATTACCTGAAACAGACAATAACATTCGTGATTAGAGCTCAATTTATAACTCAAACTGTTCATCAAAGAGTAGTTGTTGCAAAATAAGCAAAATAATAATGCTCTCATGACAGGAACCTCATGTACCTTGTACAAAGCAAACTCGGGGAGACAAACTAAGGCGCGCTCTGTGCACTCATTATTGTAACCAAATTATTGGGGGTTTCGGCTACTTATAATGAAAGCATTGGCTAATATTGAGCTTTTAGCAGATTTTCTCTTTGATAATATGTAAACTCAGGTCATGCTTAAAAACACGAAACATTCTCTTACGCTAAACATCCTCAACTTAAAATAAAAATTCTCTTGCAGACGTTTTTTGCATGGCCTGAGTTTACATATTTTCAAAGAGAAAATCGGCTAAAAGCTCAATATTTTATTCTTCCTGATTATTATTTTGTGAAATCACTAAGAATTCATCACAACACGCTAATTTGGGGAGAGCGAGTCCAAACTGAGCAATAGTAGTTTCTTTAGGAGGGTTCAAACCAACAAAGTTACGGGTGCGTTAAGAGGGGGGGGGGTGTTAAACAATCTGATTTTCAGTGTTAAATATTTCAAGAACAGACACGATCTACGAACTGGAAACTTCATGCCACCATAACTTCGGTAAAGTTTGACTTTCTTGCACTGAAAAAAAATTCTCGGCGTTTTTACCAAGGTCCGTTGGTATCTTTACCATCTCACTTTTTTTACCAATTATTGGTAATTTTACCAAGACAGACTGGTAAGCTTACCTAAAAACTGGTATTTTTACTGTTTTCTCAGGTAAGAATACCACTTTTATTGGTAATCAATTCCCAGTAACTTTGCCATTTTATCTCGGTAATTCTACCACAGTCGATAAAAAATATTGGCGTTTTTAGCAAGGTCCAGTAAAATTACCGAGAAAAATCAATAATTTTACCGAGATTTCTCGGTAAAATTACCAATTCCATAAATGGTAATTTTACCAAGAAAAAACTGGGATCAAATAGAACCCTGAATTCTTGGTAATTTTACCCTTTTCTTGGTAAATACAACGAGATTTTTTTTTTCAGTGAAGTAGCGAAACCTGCACTTTTGCGCCTTGATCTCGAAGCCCTTCAAATGGTTTCATTCCGGATTTATTATTTCAGGCCGGGAGAAATTTCGGACCGTGGGTGACATCGGCTGCAATCGATAGTTTGTTCGGCGGAAATAACCATCTCTCGAGGAGCATGGGGCTTTTTAACTTGATCTTCGATATCCCGAGTCAAATTTACACCGAGTTGAAGCAGTCGTTTTTGACTTCAATGCCCGATGAGTTCGATGGCCGCAAGGAGTGGGCCGTTGTGTGCAGAGCTCGCGTGTCAGAGGTTGTCGACACCGGTCTTTGCTCTGCCAGCTGGGTTAGTATTGCTTACCCAAAAGTTTAGTGATGCCTTATAACAAACGTGTTGGATCACCGATAGCTTGGTTTCTTAATATACAATCGGTACACTGAAAAAAAAATATTGCTGAAATTGCCGTGCACGCGGGTATTTCATGGCATGGTGTAGCTAAAAAACGAACGTGCAAACCATGTAGGTAAAATCGCTACAC